TCTTTTGTTGCCAGTTCAGAGAGTCCAGGTGGTTGAGTATCAGATTGTTCCATCTCGTTTCCCTTTGGGGTTGCTGTAGGTGATTCAGAAGTCTGTTTTTAAGGCTTGTTTACATGTCTTCTCATTTCCACGGGGGAGGGGGTGCTTCTGGAGCCCCCACAGCTCACCTTCTCTGCCCTAGGAGCTTGGGATGGCAGGAGGGGGAGCTTCCTTCCAGGTTCTGGGACCAGCTCACCTTCTCTGCCCTAGGAGCTTGGGATGGTGGCAGGCGAGCTTCCTTCCAGGTCGAGAATACAATTTTCTTATAGTCACCTTATGTCCTGCAAACTTACTAAATTCACTCATTTTATTAGTTATTTTAGAGACTCCTTGAGGTATGAGATCAAACCAAGGGCCTCACACATACTAGACAACTGCTTTACCACTGAGCTATATCCCTAGCTCAAGATTTTAAATAAAAACAACTGTACCATCTGCCAATAGGGACAGTTTTATTTGTTACTTCTCAATCATTATACCTTTTATTTCTTTTTATTGACTGATTTCAATGGCTGGGACAGGGATAGCAAACATTTTAGGGCTTTCAATGATACAAACAGCTAACAGTGGCACATGTGCCACAGGTTCACCACCAGTGGCCTCGAACCTCCAATACAATGTTGAACACAAGTAAAATAGGCACGGTTGCCTTGTTCCTATTTTAGGGAGGAAGCTTTCAATCTTTCATCAAAAAATATGATATTTGATGTTGGCTTTTTGTATATGTAATTTATAAATTTGAGGATGTTTTTTCTAGTTGCTAAGAGTTTTTGTCATGAATGAGTGCTGAATTTTGTCAAATTTTTTTGCATTGGTTGAAATAACTGCACATGGTTTTCTTCCTTTACTAAGATAGATGTAATTTTACAGAGGTGAGGGACGCTGTGTAGTAAGAGATCTTATCGTCATGGAAAGCCCCAAACAGCTGGGGGAAGAGGAGCAAAGATAATGTAAGGATTACAAAGAGCACAAGCCTTGCATTCAGTAAAACTGGCCTTTACATCTTACTATCAATGAGTGGATTTAACCATTATGAGTCTCAGTCTTCTCCTCTATAGGATGGAAAAAATAATGCCTAACTTAAAAGGTCGTGGTAAGGATTCAGTTTAAAAGTACATGTACAGTGCCTAGTACATATAAGCAATAGAGACTACTGCACCTGCTGCTGAATGTGAAAATCTAGAGGCCCTGGTCCTTGAGAACAAAGATAGAGTGCTTTGTACAATCATGATGACAAAGACTAACAACCCAATCCACCTTCGTTGAAGGTAGTAAAAAATACTTACAAGAATATATGGATAATTCTCTCTACCTCTCTTCTGTGTGCCCTGATACTCAGTACCAGGCAGACTAGGTAAAAAGCCATATAGATCCAAAATGAATTTTCTTTTGTTTTGTTAAACGAAATGCTCAGATGATGGTGTACCTGAATCCAGGAGAGGCAGAATCTTTTGCAAGAAGGCTATGAAAACTATTCAATCATAGGTTTAAAAAGAATTCATCATTGCTAAATACATAATCACAGCCCACCCTCATTTGAGATTAATCACAGCAACTGGGTCACCCAACCCATGGAACACCCACCCTAGGAATAGACTAGGTTAGCATATCTCAAAGTATACAAATGGTGTGACAGGAATAAAGGGTCCCAAGGTCAAAAAATTGTACCAATACTGGGTTCATCATAGTTAGGCAATCTTTTTAAGTCACAGGATGTTAAGATATGTGCAATGTGAATCCTTCCTGGGGAAGGATTTATCATAATGTGTTTATCATAATTCACTGTCTCTAAAGTTCCAAAAAAAAGAACTTTCAGAAGGCCTTATAGAGTTCTTATGTTTCAGTGACACCATATTTCAGAAGTTTTAACCACATTCAAACATGTTTCAAAGAACTCAGAAATATTCACTTCTTGCCACCTGCCACAGAGCCCAACCCCCAGTGGGCTATGAATAAGTATTATCCCCATTTTATAGTTGCAGAACACACATGTGTTTCACCTAAGTTAGTCATCTCAGCCTCCCTGTGACATGGGCATCATTATCTCCATTGACCACTGGGGAAGAAAACTAGGTGACATGCAAAGGTCACATAGCTCATGGAAGAAAAGAAAGGGTGCCAGTCTTCTGTCACTAGACTAAAATCTATTCTCATTGCCTCCATCTACCTGAGGTGAACCAGTCACTGGGACAAAAATGCACTAAGAGACAGGTGCAGGGCACACCCATCTGGAGGCCAGCATCACACAGGTGCAGGTGGCTCCCCCACCTCACTGCCTCCCAGGTGGAGCATGGAGGGAAAAAGGAATGAAGGTGTAGGTGTATGAAGAACTCTGAGCTCCCCGAACAAAAGGCCTTTGTTTTCTGGAGACACCAGATCTCTTCAGGAGCTAATTGTCACTCAGCTACAATCCTGACATGACAGCTAAGACTCTTCACCCAGCCCTTATAGACCTTGTTGCTGAAAAAAAAAAAAAAAAGAGAAAGAAAAGAAAATCAGGTTAAACACATTTATTTGGCTGGGGATTTAGCTCAGTGGTGCTGCCACCTGCCTTGCAAGCACAAGGTCCCGAGTTTGATCCCTGGTACCAAAAAAAACACAAAATCATGTTAAACCTTGTTGCTTACATGAGACTAGTTCATTTCAGAAATAAGCAGACACAAGCCCTTCATCAGCTGTTCACAGAAATGTTCCTCACTGCCCCAGCCCTGCCTAGTCTTAAACTGAGTGACAGAGGAAGTGGAGAAAGCTCAAGCCTTGAAATTTCATGAAACGATGGGTGGAAGAGAATGAGGAAAAATGTTAACCTGACATTCAAAATTAAAAGTTGTTTATAAGGTGGTTACTTGATTGTATTAATTGGGAGGTAATTGGCACGTGTGGAAAGACCTCATTGGAAGAAGCTAAGTGGAATTTAGTAATCTTACTGAGGCATGAAACAAACTTTACATGTAGCTTGTCAATGGAAGAGAGAACTTAGTTCGCCTTTACTTTGAAGTCACTAGACCTTGTCATACTATTTCCAGGTTTAGATTGAAATGTGTTCATGTTGGGCAGGGATGGGGTAGGGAAGAATGGGCAGTGAGATGATAACTTCTCAGACAGATGATGTCCTCTTTCTTGGTTTCAAAACCTGTCTGATAAATGATCCAGCAGCTTTCTTGGGTCCAGTGGTCCATATTCAAAGACCAACTAGAGGAAGGGAATAAAAGCAAAAGTGAAAAATGAAACATTAACAAGATTATGGAAACATCTGTAAAATGGCACCAAAAATCCAGGCCAGTTTTTCATCCTCTAAAGCAACATAGATTCACTTAAGAATCTCATGGAAACAGATACAAAGTCACATAACTTGGTGTAAAACCTAAAAGTGCTTACTGTCCCTCTGTGACTTGATCATGGACTTCCTGGGCCTAGATTAAGAAGCCCAGCTCTTGGCAGAAACCAGATTTAAGCTGGCAGTGGCATTATAATTCTCCCCTTTAGCTTTGAAATAATTAGCTGAGACAACTTCTAGAGCTATCTCTGGGACAGCTCCAAGAAATCATTTCACTTAATCATCCAAGGTAGTCTATTAAATATTGGCTGCTCTGAAACATTGGCCTGCAGCCTGCCAATATTGGTGACTTATTAGAATTGATAAAAGACACTCACCTCCAGGGTAAATCTGGGTCCTATTAACCCCTCCCTGGCTGTGGTGTGGATATTGAACACAAGGGCCACATTTCATGAGATGGGATTGGGGTAGAATCTTCAACACCACCAGCTATTAATTCCTGGGGAAATCTTTGTTGTCATGGGCAAAGCATACAGCTAGATAGGGGGGTCTGAGTTGTGCTGTGTTTGACAAGACTCCTCCAGCACATATCTGGGGGTGAGGACAGGAGAACTGAGGCCTGGGCATGAGGGGTGAAGACTAAAGGGGTGAGCTGCTAAATGGTAAGCTTTAACAATCCACTCAGAGGTCCAGCTGCCTTTGCGTTAGTTCAAGGAGTAAGAAAGAGAAGGAAGACATTGACCAGTGGCAGTGCAGCAAGCGTGCCATGCCCACCAGAGAACAAAACCCTGCTGGATATGTGCGGTGCATCCCAACTCTGGCAGGTTACCTGTCCCTGGAATAACAATGTGATCTAAACCAAAATGAGGTCTGGGGCACTTGTGGTCCTATGCACTATAATGTATGTGAGGGTCCATATATGGGCGAGTCTGAACAGCTAAAGGCCCCATGTCTGCGCCCCAGCAGGGCCCCTTCCTGGAAGGAATCTCAGGGCACACGTAGCTAAGCATCATGGCACGCTTTTGAGGCCATCCTTGTTTTTAGGGCAGAATGACCCCTCTGCAACACAGCTTCAGTTATTCAGAAGTGAACAGATAATATATCAGATCACATCTTGTATTAGAGTCTAGATTTGAGTTCACATACATTTGAACTGATTTTCAAGTGACTTTTAAGAAAATTCAATGCAAAAAACTCTTTAAACTGAGAAAAAATTGTATTATGACCCTGACTCTTCCCTCTCTTCTTCCACTCACTCCCACTTCTCAGCACCCCCTTCCCAGAATTGGGAAAGAACTGTATTCTTTGCTTTAAGAACAAATCACCCCAATCTAGTTTATGATGCAATACCATTTGCTAGGAGCCACTGGCTTAAGGTTTTAGTATATGTGCTGCTAAAGCAAGCACCAACTTAAGGTTTTAAAAGAGAGGTAAAGGGAGAAAAATCAGAGACAGAGAGGAAAACTATTTGCACTGGTATTAACTGGATTAAAATGTAATATTGTCTAACTGTAGCAGGCATTTCCTTTTAGCCTGGCTTCTTATTTCTCAAAAATATCATAGTGTCTCACTCAGCTTTCCATTAAGCCTAACAATTTAAATCTATTTCCAGCAGTCTGAATGATAGTCTTGCGTGGACTCAGTAAGATTTCTTTCTATTCAGATTTTCTGAAAGTATTTGAAATGAGAGTTTTAAAATTTATATTTATTCATGGCTTCTAGCAATGAGGAGGTGACTGCTGGAGTGATTTTAGGAAGGAGAAGCCATTCTTGCCCCATCAACACACCTTCAGCTAGCTTTTCACACTGCCTCAAATGTTGCCCAAAATAGTTGACCAAGTACTACTTCCAGAAGACAGTAAGGCATATCAGAAAGAGAATAGAATAGGGAGCACAGCAGGTTTAGATTTCAACCCTGTCTGTTCTACCCCTTATTAGCTGGTAACATTAGAAAATCAACTAGCTTCTCTGAAGCTCAGTTTTCTCTATATATTAAAGGGTGAAATTATATACCTTAATTGTGATCTGAATACTAAAACTGATGTATGAAATTGAGGATATAGAACAGGAGGGATTGAATGCAGGGAATTGATTACAGTGGTGATTTCAAAAAGGTTAGGAAGTCAACCAGGGGACAGTGAGGCAACCCAGAGAGCAGTAACAACAGGAAGTCACCACCACCTGAGGCCAGAAGGACAAAGGTGTGATGAGCTCACCAAGGTCACCAGAAGTAAGCAGCTAGAAGGGCACCTGAGAGAATGCAGCTGCTTCCAGGGGTGGCAGAAAAGGAGAAAGAATACTGTACTTCCTCCTGCCCCCACCCACCCTCCAGTTTTTTACAAAGCCTCCAGCTTGCTGTATCAGTGAGCAGGCTGCTGGCCAGGAGTCCCGGGAAACACAGCCTGCAGGACCCACACCCTGCCACTCAGAGCTGAAGGGAGGCTAGGAATGAATCTGTGGACAAATAGGGCCAACACTAACAGCCAAAAGTCCTGAAGTCCTGTGGGTTTCCTGCAGCACCCTCCCAGGCCTCGGGGAAACCTTTACCCTGCTGCAGCCCCAGCTATTGCCCCTGTTCTCCTTTGCTCTTTTTTTTTTTGGTACTGGGGATCTAACTCAGGACCTTGTGCTTGTGAGGCAGGTGGAACCACTGAGCTAAATCCCTGGCCATGTTCAACTTTGCTCTTTAAAGCTGCTGTCACTCTGTATCTCTCTGTACACTGACCCTGAGCTGAAGAGCTCAGCCACTCTTCCTAAAGCAATGCTGCTCGCAGGAGGACATGGGTTGAAAGGAACAGTACCACAGTCTGATCACACAGAGAGGTGGGGCTCAGGGTTCTCTGTTGTCCCTGACCTTCTATAGCAAACTACCTCAGGCTTTGGGGATGGCACACCCTGGGGTTTTTTAAGCTAATGTTTACTGAATAAGACAGACTTTGTTCTAAACACATTTCCTGCATTGCCACATTTAAGCTTCCTATGGGTGGTAATAATTTTATTTCTGTTTCACAGATAAAGAAACAGATAAGAAGGCAACTTGCCTGAGGCCACTCAACTAAAAAGTGTGTCCCCCAGGATTGGGATGCCCAGTCTGAGTCCAGCCAGGCCCTTCAGCACCACCCCTGGATTGCTTCCACTCCAGGAAAATCATGTATGTGTAGGTACATGTGCAAGGGCTCATCATGTGAAGCCCCTGACCCCTAAACAGTGAGGGGCCACACAGGACATTCTCTCAATCACCCGAAGACAGCCCCTGCATCCTCAGCTGGGCCTTCCTTTTCCCTGGCTGAACATACCCACCTTCCTCACATGAAAATCCTTCACCACCTCACCTGCTTTCCCGGGGGATCTCTCTGCCCTGCCTCATACACCCTTTGAAATAGGAGACCCAAAATGGAAATCCACGTTTGAGCTCTCCGTCGTGCCCTGTATGAGCAGAAGTAGGAAATCAATTCTGCCCATCATACCTGTACAAACACAAAGGGCAGAATTAGCCATTGGGGCAGCCAGACCCATCCTGCAGGCATTGGTTAGCAGGCATTCTGTGGACTATCACCCTGTTCTGTGAAGGGAGGAGTTGGTCATTTTAACAAAGTGTGCTTAGCGCCACTGGGAGTACAGGTGAGGGAGTGGTCCATGCCTTTGCAAATGGTTCCACCCAGGTTGGGGTGGTGAGCCAGATCCTAAAGAGTAGATTGGAATCCAGTACGTAAGCTGGAGGAGGACATGGAGTACCCTGCAGAGAGGTACAGAGGTGTGCAAGAACATGATGCATTACAGAATCTGCCAAATGATTGGTAGGCAGATTGCATGAGCTTTTATTCAGCTAAAATCCTTAAATCCTTTCCACCCTTTGTCATTGATTTGTTAAACTGAAGTTCAGAACTTTCCGTTTATTCCACTTAAATTTCATCCTCTTAGATTCTGCCGATTATTTCAGTCTGTCTGGGCTTCCAATTGTTAATTATCCCCCTCCCATACCACATCATCTTCAAGCTATTGATTACAAATGTCCAAAACAACAGGGCTCAGGGCAGAGCTTGCTGCTCACCACTAGAGACTTCCTCTGAGTTACTGTCAAGCAGCATCCTCAGTTTCATGCATGCTTCTGACTAAAAGTGCCTCTTCCTTCCGTTTTTCCAGTTTTGTCTGCTACGAATCACAAGAGACTGTCAGCTGTCTTGCTAAAATCTAGATGTACCACATCATTGATGTCTCCCTGATCTACAGGCCCTGTCACTGCATTAGAAGAAGGGTGGAGATGAGACTGGCAGGACTGGTTTTCCAGTGGACCCTGTAGCTCTGTAGCAAGCTGTACTCCTCTTCCTTGGGGACACAAAATGTTTGCTCAATAGCATGCACTACAATTACATCCATGTTGCCCTCACATTTGTAGGTTTTCAGTTTGCAGGACCCAAAGTGTTTTCCCCCTGGAAAATCAGAACCTCTGCCCACTCCATTCTCTAGGGCTGTCTCACATTTGCTACAGTTTATGAAAGATGAACACCAGCCACTGAGCAACCTTACCTGCTGGTACAACTCTTTTTGAAGGCTGCAGTTCTTCTCAGGCATCTTCTCACCAAGCATGAACTCAGTAGGGTTATTTTTCCCTGTCCAGACTGAAGAGCATTCTTGAGACAAAAATGGAGACCAGAGTTTGACATCTTGTTGTGTTCTCTTTAGTATTGTTTTGCATGCTAAATAATTTGAACTTGATCTGGTAAGTAGAGAAGCCACTGAGGATTTTTTTTTTTTAAGGAGTGATGAAGGTACAGGCAGTAGTGCCATGGACCATGCCAGGGGTTGCTTACACCTGAGAAGAACTACACAGCAGCAGGTGTCAGAGATGGAAGTCAAGTGAAACATGAAGAACAGCCCCCTTGAGCAACCAAGGGTGTCAGTTGTACCTGAGGCATTCTCAGCAGCAGCAAGTTCCTGTGTGGATATCCAGGCAGAGCTGTGATAAGCGTTTTTAGCTAAGACACTGAGAGGTGGTTAAAGAATATTGGAATATTGAGACTCCATCTGCTGTTTGTGAAACTTCTGAATAACTTGTGTTGTCTCTAGGAGAATCCACATCGTACCTTTATAGCTGTCCCCTAGGTATTCAGGCTCCTGAAATTTTATCATTGATGTTGGATTTCGTGGCACAGCAATAATGACTGCGGACAAGAGCAGCAAGATGCTGCACCACATTGACTATTGAATTTGGTGCATCCAGCAAGATGGTCAGATCTTTTACTGGCACTGTGGAGATGCATATGAATTTGAACCTCTGGGATTGTGATGAGTTCAGGAAGATCAAGCCAAAAAATGCAAAACAACCAGAGTGTGAAGAAAAGGGGGTTTGGGGTCTGGTCTTGCTGCATGGGGAGAGCTTGGTATCCATGACTATGGAAGGGCCACCCCCTAAAGATACTGGCACTGCTTGGGTACCACTTGGTGGAGCTGCAGGAGGTCCTGGGGTTGGGAGGGCAGCTGGCAGAGGTGTATCAGCTGGTGTACCAATTCCTCAGGCTCTTGCTGGATTAGCAGGCCCTGTCCAAGGAGTTGTTGATCCATCCCAGCAGTAATAAGGAGGAGGAATTGTGGCAACTGCCAATGTTCCTGCAACTGCCAGCATTGCTGGAGCCCCAACCCAGTACCTAGCGGGAAGGGGGACTCCACCGCCTTCTGTAGGCAGAGCAACCCCACCTCCAGGCATTATGGCTCCTCCACCAAGTAAGAGACCACCCATGGGCCCACCAATTGGGCTTCCTCCTGCTCAAGGGACACCACTGGGCTTGCCCCCTCCAAGAATGAGACCCCACCCCTAGGAATTAGAGATCCATCTCCCCCAGGATGCATCCACCAAGACCCTAGGATACTGTTGATCCATCTCAGTTACTTTTTTCTCAACAGTGCATCTTGTGAAATTGTGTGGGTTGTGAGCTTTCTGACCCCTCTTTATGCATTAATAATAGCTAATAATAAATGTATAGAGCAACTAAAAATGGAGTGATATGTTAAGTGGAGAGTTTTAAGGTTTTGAGTGTTTTATGTCATTAGTATGTTGCTCTTATCAACATCTAGCAATTTCCTGTATGAGCAGGAGTACAAAATAGACTAGCTAAGGTTAGCCACTTTGTTTCTTACTGTGAAATAGAAAAGAGAAGCAGCCATGGGTAGGATTTAGAGTCTAACAGACCTGGTTTTAAATGCCAGCTCTATCACTCAAAGCCTGGGGACTTGATAACCATTGTAACACCACTGAGCCTTGGTTTCCTCAACTACAAAATGAGAAGAATAATAATGCATCTGCCTCACAGGATGGTTATGAGGATGGAGACAGTGAATGAGGGCTGCCTGCCCAGCACCTCCTCCAGACCCTAGTCTTTCAGTGTTCTGATCACACAGCAGTCACCTTGCAGGGTTCCCAGGCTCCCAGGACTGAAGGACAGTCCCCTGGAACAGCCTAAGCAGAGAGGCCCCATCAGCTACAGGCTCTGAGCTCCTGCCTATGGCTCACCAACACTCTAGCCCCCAGTGACCTGCCGGGAAGGCTGGCACCAAATTCAGAGTCCTGATCGCCATCCCACCCTAATTAGTGCCACCTGGGTGTGGGTTTACTTGGGAGTTGCAGGGTTAATGGCTAGAAGAACCAGTTTTGAAATGCACCCTCCAGAATTGTCTTGGAAGTGATTCTACAGAAGAGACTGGAGCCTAGATGGGAGGCACCAGGCCCCAGACATGGCAAGTGTCCCAAGGCCCCAGCCTGAGGCACTTGCAGCTTCTTGCATGTGTGGCCTGTCACCTCCCATACACCTGCACCACCTCCTCCCACCCAGCCGTGGGTGTGCAGAGAAGGAAAGGCAGGCTGCCTCGGGGAGGCATTCTGGAGAGGTGCCAGCCACTCCTTTATCCTGCTGTCATGCCACTGCTACAGGCTGGCCCTCCATGGCTGCGCAAAATGGCTTGGAACAACGCATGCTGCTCTGATCACAGATGAATCAGAACTTGGCTCCTTTTAGGTACTTCATATAAATGGAACTGTAATATTTATCTTTTTGTGACTGGCTTATTTCAGCCACCATGATGTCCTCAAGGGTCATCCTTGATGTGGCATGTGACAGAACATCTCTCCTTTTTAAGACTGAATAATATTCCACTGTATGTATATAAACATGTGGTATATTCATTCATGTACCTCTGGTCATTTGGATTACTTCTGCCTCTTGGCTACTTTAAACAATTCTGTTATGAGTACAGATGTGCAAATATCTCTTTGAGACCTGCTTTCCATTCTTTTGGATATATACCCCAAAATGGGATTGTTGGGCCATATGGGAGCTTAATTTTTAATTTTATGAGGAACCTCCGTACTGTTTTTCATGAGTTGCATTGTTTTAAAGTCCCACCAGCTATACATGAGGGTTCAGAGTCTTTGCATTCTCACCAACACTCACTATTTTCTGTTTTCCCGATAGTGACCATCTTGGCTGTGGAGCTCGGATCCCTGCACAGACTAACTGGAGCTCTGTGCCTCCTGATGCCAGCATGGAGACTCACACATGGCAGTAGCAGTGTGTGCCAAAAACTTATGGGCACATTCACAGCTTCACATCGGAGAACTCCTGGGGCATTTCTGTGCATTCAGTGAACTCTTTCCTGGGTAAGCACTGTTTTCAGTGGGTGGTGGCTAGACAATGATGGTGCCTCCAGGTGGGTGGAGACATTTGACCTCTGCCTTTCCTGCCCTTGACACATAATAAGTGTTGAATATCTTTGTTGAATGAAGAAGAACTGAAGAGCTTTCCATCCCTGTGAAATGTAGTCCCTCTCAGCTGAAGGGATCCACAATGGCTGCCATTTGGCCCTGTACTTGGTGGCTTATACTCTTTTCCACAAGGGCCTGGCTGTCCCTCCCTCCTTTCTTGCTAAAGCATTCCACATCTGACTTCCAGCCACCATCCCATTCCTGTCACTCTTCTTTCTTGAAAATGGCTCTGGATTTCATCTTTTTGGCTAGGCCTGGCAGGGACAGTTTTAAAAGTTTGAGAAGTGATGCCTGAGAGGGAAGTTTTGGCAGGTAGTGGTAAACTGTCAGCTATGCTTTAAAAAAAACAAAAAAAAACAGGAGTGAGGTGTCTTTTCTCATTTCTCACAAGAGAGATTTTTTTTTTAATCTCAGTACTTTTTTCTGCAAAGAGTGAGATCTTGCAGTCTCCCCGCCACACCTCTAGACAAAAAGACACTTGTAGGAGGGCCGAGGAGGAGGGTTTTTCAAGCCATGTAAGCCAAACAAAACTCTTGTCTTCCAGTATTGTACAAGAAGGAAACAATATCACACTTTAATATCACAGTCAGTGAAAAACTGAGAAAGCACTGTGTGCTCAATACTCCACAACACATACTGACTTTTAAATCTTCCCATAAGTCTTGAAGGAGGTCATACCCATTGAACAGCTGGGGAAACTAAGCTACAGAGAGGTGAAGTCATCAGCCTGTGATCACACAGCTGATCAGAATATGATGTCAAACTATGATGACTCTTTAGTCAGTTGTGACTTACTAATGCAACTGTTTGTAGAGCACCCACTGTATGGCAGGGCTCCCTGCCAGCAGCTAACACCTCACAGGCCCCAACCTCAAGAGCTTTCAGTCTAACAAGGACCCTAATTCGGTACAGAGTCTTGTCAGTGAGCATGGACCACAGAAAGTCAGTCGCTAAGCCAAATTCAAATTCATTTAGTGATCAAGAATGACAAACTACTCAGGAGCCAAAATTTAATCATTCTCTTTGAGCAAATCAAGCCTAGGTCAGGTCAAGATGTGTTTTAATGGCTTCCAGAGGAGGGTTTGGAACATCCTAATCGATGGGGGCGGGGGGTGCTGTTAACACTGCGGCAGCACCCACCACCAAACAAAGCTGACTTCCTCAGGAAAATGCCAAATGAAACCATCCGTAATATCAACTAGTATTAATATTTTTTTCCTATATTGGAGCAGGCTCAAAAGGGCTCCCACTCTTGCCCCTGGCTCTTGTCAATTCAAATAACCCATGGGCTGTGTGGGTGAATTTAAAATCAGGATGCCACAGACATCTGAGTTCCTCAGCTGTGGACAGAGGGACTGAGTGTGTCCCTACTGGAGGCACCACAGGGCAGTCAAGGGCACAGGCCTGAGTTTAATCATGGTTCTATGCCTCATGCAGGTGAATCACTTACTACCTACCTCTCAGTCTCTGCACCTGTAAAATGGAGCTTATAACAAATGTTCATATGGTCCACACAGTGTGGTTGAAAGATGAAAGAGAAGAACCCTGTAGTTTAGTGCGTGGCCAGAGGAGCACAGGGAAGTGTTAGATATTGCTATATGCAGACGTATTATACTGTCTTATTAAATGATACATTATCTGCAAATAATTTCATCGATTTTGAAATTCACTACATTTACATGTGCTCTGAATCCTTTGGGGAGTATTTTTTGACATTGCTCAGTTGAAAACATTGTCCCTATCTTGTCTAGTAGCTCAAACCTCCTCCCTTTACCTAACCTTTGCCCATCTCATATATTCAGAATTCCCCACCACACTCACCATAGCTTTCTGTTCTATAGTAGGCTGGCTTCCCAGAAAGCAAACATTGAGTGC